CTATTTAGATAGGTGGCAAATATTTTGTTTAAACAACTCCATGTAGGAGTTTTTCTGAACAGTTAATGTTGCTGAAATGAGAATATTTGAAAATATTGCATACACATGTATACGTATCATCAGCTCTGCAAGCCATGCAGAATGTACTAGATAACAATTATCCTTTTCCTGGAATCAAGCAGGGAGCTGTTTCATAACAAAGTCTTCTTATTACAATTGGTATTTGGCAAACATTCCCTTGCTTTCTGAAAAAACAAGAGCTTTTCATTTCTTTCTGGTTCTAATCTTTATGCCAAGTAACTTGAAGGAAAATATAAAATGGGCAAGAGGCAACTGTAATGTTCCATCCTCACTACACAGCTTTTTCATTTTTATAGATCTCCTTTTTAGAGTATTAATTAAAGTGTAAGTATTGAAGTATATCTGCAATACTGTTTAAACAGTGTGTGGCACAGAACTCTGAGATACAGCAGAACTCAAGAGTCCCAGAACCACCACATAAATATCCAATGCCAAAACAGTTCAAAAGCAGGCTTAAATCTAACTGAAAGGAAGACGTACAATACGTCTGAAGATATTAACACTTTACCAGTTTTCTGACTCTGGAGTACTACATCTTTCACCTTGCTTAGAATATAAATTGGTCTCACAAGCAAAAAACTTCAATCAAGCAATTCAAACTAACTAAGCTTTAGGAGCTAAAACCTTCAAACTAGGCTGGTGGGGGATGAGGAACAATTTATATGTATCCCGAAGTCTTCAATTTTAGCCAAACTAATGATTCTGTGAGGCTTTAAACTGATTTTATTTTAATGTTCTAGCTTGAGATGACTGCATGATCATGGAGAGATCATCCCATGTGTCTTTTCATTGTCTTTTTACCAGAGATAATTCAGATGCTTTTCAGAGAAGTTCTCTTTACTTACCTCCTTAAGCCAAAAGCATTAGCAGTATAGTCTTGAAATGTAAATAACAGTAGGCAATACAGAGCAGGTCTACTCTGAGCAAAGAGTATCTGTATGAATTTATTGGTTCAGTGTTGCAGAAGTGCAACCACTACATGCACCAGCAGTTTCCTTTTCAGCGGTACCATCACTTCTACCATCGATTCTTTTGGGGCTCCCTTACCTCTTCTTCCCTACCTTTTCTTTTCAAGTATATACATCTACATTTTCTAAATTCTATCAGCAAAGAGAGATCCAAAAGAGATGGCACTGAGATTAGCAAGGATACAGGTAGTTTTTAACTGCTGTTTTCCCATTAAAAAGTTCACATACAAACCCGAGAGAAGCAATTCAGTTTGGTATCAGAGACAACAAGCACTGCACAGCACTTACCCCACGCTTTCTACAACCCTGAGACGACTTACTGAGTGACCTCTGCACATTCTTCCTTTTTGCTCCTATTTACATGCATACATTCCTATATAAATAATAGATTTTGAAAAATACCAGGAACGATTTTAAGAGTTTTCTGGTTTTACATTTCTTTACTGAAGTGTTTAGTTCTGCTAGAATATGCAGCCCCTCATTATTTATGTTATCCTCCTTTCATCCCACTAAACATGCTGCTGGGCTGCATAGTTTTACTTGTCCCTAGTGACTCCTAACTCGGTGCTGCCAGTTGTCAAGCATCAGTCTTCATGCTTCTTCCACTTCTTCAGATTAACAGCCTTACTTGGTTCTTCCTCATTTCTCCTGTCTACTCAGTGAAGGTTACTGATGATTACAGAAACAGATGGCAGCAAAGGAGGGGCAATTGCTACCCACTTTCCAGGGGCTCTAAGCCCCACGGGTTTCTTCAGATACATAAGTGCTTTTAGACAAAAATGGTTACTTCAACATGAGTCCTCCAAAGGGGCAGGGTGGAAAAAAAACCTTCCAATAATACCTGAAAAGAAGAACTAATCACACCATGCTCCAAACTGGTAAGTTTAGAAACCGTTTGTCGGAAAGCAAATAAAGCCCCCAGACAGTTGCATTCTGATACGGAGAGATGGCTGGCATTTCCCAGGGAGTGTTTGTGCGGTCAATATATTATGTCCACTAAAAAAAAAAAAAAAAAGGTATGAACATGTTCGAATGAATTACAGCTTAAATATGCACACAATACAAAAAAAAAAACTTTGTTCAAGATCTTCCAACCCCAGAAATATATCTAAAAATATCAGAATCATTGCAACAGTTGACCTACTTCACCTATTTTCACAACACATGTTTTTGCCTCAATCACATTGTAAACCACCAACCACTAAAAATATTTTATTTTATGCTACAAGCCTTTTTCACCTATCTAAAAAAATTACCAGTTGCCCAGACATTCAAGTTATGGCATACAGATGACATTTCCATGTAATTTAGTTTAAACTTCAGAGCTGAACACACTACAAAATTCCAGATCCAGACAGCTTTAAGAGGATAGGACAAGTGTGGCATTATTTCAATCTGTCTTCTTCATACACTCCAATCCACAATGATAAACCAGAGACACATTCCTTTAATATTAGGTCACTGACAAATGTTAAGCCTTGGGCTTCAAAACCTGACAAAACCTGTCGTGCTGAAACAATTGGTTACCTGCCCAGAGCTGTAAGCATTAGTGATACAGCTTGCAAAAAGTGTTCGGGCCCCTCTATCTAAACACGTCTTTTCCCCCCTCTTTTAAACTTTATAACAACATTTGAATGCATTTTTTAAAAATGCAAAGAACCAAAATGAAAGTCAGTTTGACTACACACTGAATTTAATTAATGTATCATATGAGAACCTGTATTTTAAATAACACTGTTAAGACATGCATATGTTATAAAGCTGGATGATTTCCAATTAGCCTTGTAAGAAAAATAACTGGAGAAGAAGCTGTTGTGCAGATTATGGGCTCAAAATGTAATAAAATTAGAGTGTGGAACAAAGATCACGTAAAAATATCACACACCTAAGTGTTACTCTGCGTACAGAAAGTTATCTGAGCACGTACAAAATGAACACACATTTACCACCTATCCTCTTTAGCACTGCAAAGTAACTACCAATGGGGCAGTTTGCTTCTTCCTGAGCACGTATCCATCGAGCTGCAAGGTTGTATCCAGTTGCTCCCTTTTTTTAGCATCTACCAACATGTTGTCATTGCCATCGGCCTCTCAGGATGATAAACTAGACTCACGGTGCAACAGGAAGCTATTAGACACACCTCGTAGACTACTCAGAGAAGTCTTTGGTTCCATGCTGATGACACAAGTGATACAGTCAGACATGTGCATTGCCCATTAAAGCAGTCACAGACAGTCAAAGGAATTGAAATGCAGACAAGAAGTCCAGTTTCCCCAACGTGGCATGAGACTCGAGTCCTATTTACAAGTATCTTGTATCTTCATTTTGACTGAAGTAAGATGAAGATTTATCATAAATCACTATTTATAATTCACGTACAAAGTGAGGAAGTGCAAGCTGAAAAAAAAGCATCTTGGCTCAAGACCCTAATCAGAGTAGTTCAAACAAAGTCTTCATATTTGTGATGTGCTATGGAAACTATTATTTTACCATATCTCGAAGAACTTTTCACTGCTCTTTTTTCTCGACTAAAAACAGAAACACTGATTATGGATCACATTTGCTCCCTTCCTCAAGACAATGGAATACAGATGAAGTTTAACAGTCCTGCTGCCCAGGGAGAAAAATACTGAAATTACATTGGGAGAGTTTAAAAACTAGGACATGATTCTGTAACGGCTCAATCTCCTGCATACCTTTGCATACAAAATTACATAAAAGTTTTCATCTTTACTTAACATTTAAACAAGTATGGGGTGGAAAAAACATGTCTGATTGTAAGCAGTTCCAACAACTAAGATTTTTTTCCATTTGCAAAAGGAGTAATTGTCAGGGAATGCTGATGTCCACTTTGTATTATTATACTTATTTTCATCTGCTTTCACCTTAAGGAAAAAACCTTTATTCACTTTCACTTTTTCCACATTACATATTTGTCCCAGTCTGATGTTCTCAGAAGTTTAAAATTAGCTTGCCATATACTTCATCAAGAAAAAAAAATAAATCATTATAACTGACCAAGAAATACTTGTAGCGCCAAGGTTTAGAGCAAGGATGCCGATGTTGGATGACAGGGAGAAGGGCAGGTTTTATTACCCCAGTGAAAACTCATCCAGTTTGGTTCATTGCAACTCAAAAAAAAAATAACCTTGCATAAAGCCTTTAGAGAGTCTCAGTGCAATGGGGAAATTTGATTTTTAGAAATTGCCTCTTGGACTGACTGATTTTGCCCAGGACCAACAGGCTGCAGAAGATTTTCCTTGTGATTGTTGCTCCTTGTAACTGGGACTACTGTCACTGGAACTCCAAAGCTAACAGATATAAAGAGGCATGTTTGTACAATGCAGAGGACGGAAAGGATTAAAACCTGGAACAATCCAAAGTTTCTCAATCCTAGCACAACTTTGAAGTTTAGCAGAGACATACACTGAAAGACATGGGGGCAACTCACTGAACCACCTGGTCTGACAATGAAAAAGCAGCCAGTACATTTATGAACAGAATTGCTGAACCTATTTTTCAATGCATCTTTTTGAGGAAATGTTTGAAAAGTTTTGATTAGACTATACAGACATACCAGTTCTTTCAGTGCTGTCTTTAGCTATCTCTCTATTGGTTTGCTTCATGCCGTGTAGGTGTACACCTTGTCTTGTAAGAGTTGATGAGCTTCCAAATGATCTCCAACAAAAAGAAAAAACAGCCTTTTTTCCCCCCCCCCAGAAAAAAACTAACTCACTTCAGGAATATTCATGCAGCACAGCAAAACTAGATTTCTGACTTGGTTTCTTCTGAAAAAAAAAAAGTTGGTAATGCACCAGAGATTAACGTGTAAAATAAGGGGGAAGAAATTTGGTTCACCTTCCTTTTTGATCTTCTGCTTTTGTAAGAAAATAAATAGTTATGGAAAAGGTTACCCATACTGAGAACTAACAAATAATGCAATCTGCTTACCTTATCCTGGTTATATGTTGCTGCACAGGCTGATGCTGAAAATGGTCAGGCCACTGATGGTGAAGGCAGAAGGATGGGGAGGGCTGAAGACAGCAGGCGGGTTGATATACAGGGGTGTGTTTTTGGCAAATAGATGCTGAATACTCAGTATGTGGCTGCATGCAGCACGAAGTCATAGGAGATGGTGCTGAGCTGCCAACCACTGAATGACATTCTTGTTTGTTATTATGGCTACTTAAAGAATGATGGTACGGACAAGGGTGGCAGCATTGTGACAACATCTGCTGAGTTCTTTGGTTGTCTAAAGGCAGAAAGGATGGTTTGATTGTACCATTAAGTTGCAGGCAGCCATTTGGACTTGGTTTTGTTCTTGGTGTTTCCTTGGATGGGAGTTGTTGAACCGCGACATCTCCATCATTAGCTGCAACGATACCTGGGCCAGTAGCATTTGACAAGATGCTGCCATTGCTCAGAACCACAGAGTCACTGACATTGCTCATAGCCATGCTCCAAGTTCTTGATGGATACGCGATGTTCCTGGAGAAACAAAAAAAGCAAAGTTTACAGAGATGTAGTGTTTTCAGATGCTGAGAAATAACTTTAGATGAAAACGAGTAAAGCTTCTCTCTCATCTTCATATTTCACAACACAGGAAAATGGAAAGGAGTCATACACGCACTGTCAGGAATGTTTTGAAGGACTTTCACTTGTTCAACAAAAAGTTAGGAGTGAAGTTACATAAACACTTAGTGATTAAACCAAAATATAAGTCAAATGAACAGACATTTGACAGTCTCTGGGTCTCAGCTAACAAGTAATGGTTGAGATGCACGGGAACAAGATCATTTTGCACATGACTAATAGGCACTATTTATGAAAACAGATTTTAGTATAAACTGTGTAACCATCCACACCTTGCACTGCAATTTGCTTGTATGCTTTGAAAGACAGCAGGAGACAGGACCACACAACAGAGACTGTTTAATAATCATTAATGTGCTGGTTTCAGTACCCTCCTTTCCTACCTCCCATTTCTATTGAAAATGAGCCATATTTGTATTTCTGAAGGAATTATTTTAAAATGCCTTATTTAAAGAAATCAAGCCACTTCAGCAGACATCTGACAAAATTTCTGGATGGTAGACTAGGTCTTTAGCAGAAGCTCAAAATGAACTGTTACGAATACTAAAAAGATACACTGGAGATCTTTAAAAGACATGTAGATGGGGCACTTAGGGACATGGTTTAGTGGTGGTCTTGGCAGAGTTAGGCTAACGGTTGGACTTGGTCATCTTAAAGGTCTTTTCCAACCTAAATAATTGTATGATTCTAAGATAGAATACAAGCTTTAAAAAAGATAATCCCAGGATTCAATTACTGCTGATTGAGAAGCTCATGCTTCTGAGGGACATTTATTCCAAAGGCAGTTAAGAAACACACTGTGCTGTAAATAAAGGATATTAAAGATTTTCTTATAAAGTCTTGTCTTTTTCAACCAAAATGTAAATAACTGAAAACCATTAACAGTGGAAAGGTGAATGAGGAGCTTGGCTCAAAATCAAAACTTGTCTGAGGTACTCACGGCAGCCAATTTCCCCTGTGTTAACTATAATCATTTTTTAATAAGCATTGAAAATATGTTGGAGATTATTATTTTGATAAATAGCACTAAAGGTCAAACATTACACTTGGATAAGAATTTGTTTCCCAAGTTACATGGGGATGAGGAAGAAAGAACACTGATTATGTACTATTTAGAAGAATAAATCAACGCTTTTTCAAAAAACAGAGCAAGTTAATTACAACTGCTTTGGCTAACTTAATTTCACCATTTTGATACTGAATTTAATCAACAACATTCCATGTCCAAATTGCAAGGCTTGCATTACAGACACTGAACTTTGCAGAAAGACAAAACATAGAGATTAAGTCAGATAAGCGAGGAAGTTTCTAACTCATTTTCTTCCCCGATACCTTTGCTGAGCGCTCAGAGAGCTAAGCCCGCCCAGCCAGCTGAGCTATTTAATTGCCTGAATGTTAACTCTGAGCAGAAAGAGCTTTGCAAAGTGGAATGCTACCCCCGGCAGCTCCCCCCCCCCAGCATCTTCCCTAGACATAGCTAAATCCTTCACTTCTGAAACAAAAATTAATCTTCTGCTATTTGTTCTAGATCATGTGCAGAGCCAGATGCCCTGGGAAGTCACTTTCATTTTAGATAACTGCTCAGAACAGGAGAATACGCTGCTTGACAAGCATATTTTTTTCCAGCCTCCAATTCCACACATTCCTGCCAGGTACCCGCTCCCCTGGCCCGGGCAAGTCAAGCCCATGGAGGACTTTCCACTGAGCACAGAGAGTAAATTCAAGTGTCCAGCTAAACTTTGTTTCAGTCTGAAGGGATGTATTAGTTATGTGAAATACTGCTGTGTCTGAACAGCCTGGTTTGCTCTCGCACAGGGAGAGGCTTCAAAGCCTGCTGAAGTGGACGTCAAGGTACAGAAAGCTCCTCTCGAGTCATCTGGCAGCATTTTAGGAATTTCTGGCTCCTTACTTTGACATTCACGCACATAAGAGATAGGCTGCACAGTGTTGTGGTTACATTCTGTTCCTGAATTTGACACATCCAGATCGTCACTTGCTACTGCTGTACACTGGTCAAAGTTACAGCTCCACAGACAACCATTATAACTGAAAATCAGGGATGGAGATACTGCAAATACCTAGCGCTTCAAGAAGATGGATGCACCATCCTTTTGCTTTAAACCCAGGACTTCTGCAGTGCGCCGCAATTGAGAGAACACAACATAGTCTTTAGTATTGTAGTATTGTATAGTACTAAATAGTATTTAGTATTTCAAATCACTTTATAAAGGAAAGTACCCATTTATGCACAAGGCACACGTGTGCCAGCCAGAGACGCGAGCTAACTCGCACCCGCAGAAGCTGGGCAATCCCAGCACAGACACAAGCTTGGGACCTTCCGTGGATCTCCACCTTTCATGAACACCAACATGGGAATGATAACTTTTGTTGCAGGCAGCTCAGCAGCCTCCATTTAATATGATCAAAGATAAAATGCTTTATTTTTAACAGATGTAATACCCACCTGCATGTCTCAGATTAAACACAATCTTCAGGACTCTTTAGAAACCGGTAAATTCAAAGAAAAGCCAAAGATCACCATCATCAGTACCACAACATGTAATTCTGCCTTTGTCCTCCTGTTGAACAGGCTATTCATGAACTATTTCAAGCTATAAACATTTTAACAGATCAAGCTGATTCTTTCTTTCTTCCTAAATCCTGAGAAACTATTGAGTTCCGCTCATTTCCATGGAGTCTTTGAGGAAGGCAATGGAAACACCTGCTAACCTTGAAGCTCTTTCAATGCCATATTAAAGTAAGACAGACTACTTTGCACGCTTCAGGTAGCCTCTGATTAAGTATTTTATTCAGTCACAGCTAAGAAGAACTGGGACTCAAAACAATTCTCTGGAATATGAGCTGGGCAGTACATTTTCATTTGGTTTAGTAGCTTTCTTTTTTTTAAACAAATGTAAGATGGTTAATGTCATTTGACAAGTCTAATGTTATCCGAGTTTTTTTTTGCTCACATTTGAGGGTATTAAAAATTATGTGCTATAGTACTTCTTTTGTGTCGCTCTCTATATGAGCGACTCCAACTCCACTGATGGCAAAATTTCACCTGCAGCAACCACACCAAAATATATTCTTAGATTACATTATTTTCTCTCTGCTGTATTTTGTCTCCTCTGCCACAACTGCAGAGACTGGGAACTTATCGAGAGATGTAATAATGGCCCAAGGGAACAGTTAACTGAGAATCTCTGCTTTAGAGGATGTACAAATAAGCCAGTTAAAATGCAACAAGTAAAAGCACAGTAAGATTTTAATAATACACAGAGGTGGGAAATGAAAGAACCTGTTTATCATGAAAAAAATCAAAATATAAGAACTTATGAAAACGCAGCCTTTGAGAATTCTGAATTCTTTCAGCGTTGAAAGTTTATTTTTGCTACATTCCTCAGAATGCTCTAGGATATGGTATTCTCCAGTAGAGTGGGGTTTTCAGACTTATTCCAGTTTCTATCTGAAAGCTTTGAAGTAGTGGACAGGTATTCTGAATAATGAGGTTGTAGATAATACAGGCTTTAACATAGACTTAACAGAAGATTAAATACAATTAAAAAAAGCGTTAACCTACAAGTCTAATACATCATACTTTGGTATCCACCTCTCTAGCTGGACAGACAGTATTTTAAACATTAACATCTATTTAGAAATTATGCCAGCAGGACTGCTAAGGAAAGAAAGCGAGGTTATGTTTAATTACTGCACACTTGATAACAGTAACTCGTTATCTTACTCATACTAAGAAAGCACTGTAGCCATAACAGTTCAAAACTACAGCTTGGAAGAGTGTCATATCTGGAAAGCACCATGGTCTGAAGAGGCTATGTTACTTAGTGACAGTTTTATGGAGTAATCCCTCTATTATTTGTGGAGCTAACAACGAACACAGTTTACCCAGCAGACATCTGCCATCTGCATCACAAGCCCTTCAGGAAATAAAGTAATGCTGTACTACACTGCAACTATGTAGGATTTGGTGTTCCCTAACTAGCGTGTTCTTTTTAGGCTTGGATTAAGTTCACCTGTTCCTTTGGCTGCAACTGAAAGAATTTTTCTTTGCTTTAAAGTTTCTTTAAAAAAAAAATAAAATTAAAAAAACATTGGTTCAACAAATCCCATCTGGACTCATAATGCCTGCAATTGAGAATGATATAAGTGCAAATTCAAGAGGGAATGACGTAGTGGAAATTTAGTATAACCTAGTATATTGGAATAGATAATTTATAGACCTTTAGAAGACGACAGCTGAGTGTTGAGGGTTGTTTTAACCATGTAAGAAAAAAAAAAAAAAGCCAAAAATCTGTACCTTGCACTAAAAACTAAGCTGGTTGTAAGACTTGACATTTTTCATGGGACAAAACTCAGCTTTCATTTAAAAGTTATCTAAAGCCTTTCAGCTGTAGTCAGCCTCATGCCACTCAGCCAGCTGAACCAGACCAGGTTTTCTGGACCTTGCAGACCTGTCAGCTACAAAGTGCCAGGGTTCTGAGATGAACATGATGTCCAAAGGAACAAAAATGTATTTTCATGTCAAAAGTTCACCTAAACCAGTTGGATTTGAAAAGTACTGCATTCTTGAAATAAGCAACATTTAACAATCCCAGTGTTACCTATTAAGTCTCCTTCCAGATGAAATATTCTAATGGCCATGTAGTCCCTTAAGACACTGAAGTTTTCCAGTGTGGCAAATGGGTTACACAGTCTCTATCTGTAAACCCAGTTAAATCCTCTCAAGACTTCATTTGCTGTGCCAGCCAGTGCACAACCACTCTTAAGGAGGGTTTTCTCCTCCTTCACGTCACCAAAATTCTTTGCATCTTTGCTTTTTCTCAGTGCTCGCAGGAGTAACAGG